TTTTTTTTTTAATAGGCAACAAAGCTATGGATCAAACCCATAATCCAAAGTCAGATCTTTTAGCTGAAGGAATCCAACAACTTTGCTGTAAACAGTTTATTTATCTACTAGTGGAGTAAGAAAAAAAAAATCCCACTTAATCAAAATATCTTAAGCCAGTTGGGTTGTCTTAATATCTGGTAATTTTTACAGTTACTAGTTTTAAAATGATACAAACAGTCAAACAACCATTTTCAATTTAATGACTTTTCTGCCTCAAATTTAAAGTTTATCCTATATTCATATAAACATTGCCCAAAGAGAAAATAAATGTCTGTTCAACTATTGTTATCAACAGCCTAGATAACTATTACCTGTTCCAAAATTTATTTTACTCAAATTTGAAATCTCCAAAGATTAAATACTACTTTCTGCTCCCCATCAAATAATTACAATATTCTGGCTCTTATCATTCTTGGAAATATTCTTCCCATTATCAGCTCTTTTCACTGATCTGACTTTGCTTCTGCCTGTCCATGTCTTCATCTCCTACTATCTTGCCTCTTGCTCACTCCTTTCTGGCCTAAGCAGGTACTCCAGTTCCTTAAACACAGTAAAGATACTTCTGCCTCAGGATATTCCCATTTGCTCAACACTGGAATGTTCTTCCAACTCTGTGATTTCCTTAAGGTCTTTATTCAAAACCCACCTTCTCTCTGTGGCCTTCCCTATCAAAATATAGAAAAGTGCAAGCCTCTTCTCAATTTTCCTGGCTTCATTTTTTTTCATTAGCCAGTGTTATTATCTAAAATGTCATACTGTATGTAATTCCTTACTAACCCTGTGTGTTCTTTACCTGCCCCTGCAGACTAGAAGCTCCATTAAGTCCACACTCTACATCTAGTCACTAATATATACCTAGCACCTAAAATGGTAGCCAGCAAGTAGTAAGCCCTCAATATAATACCCGATGAATATATATCGAATTTTTAATTTGGTTGCATTTTATTGGTAAGCAACAGTAATAGAGTATCTGAATAAGTATGATGCTTCTAATTGTCCCTTACCGGTGTGTGGGTCTGACAAGTGCAACTTCTGACTTCAACACTCACAGTACCATTCTAAGTTTGACATGAGGTAACATGCATAAATATACTTTGAAATCTATACTTATTTTCTCTTTACTGCTCAAAGGTAAAGATGCTTGAAGAGTCGAACACAAGAAGGAAACAGATGTGGTAGACTCACTTCATCATGAACCAGGTCCAGGGGCTCTATCATGTACACAGAGGTGCTGTCTTCAAACATTCCACTGCAGCACAAGAGACCACACAGGAGACATTAAGAAACACTACACATGGCAAGAAATAGCAAGTGAACATTTTGATTATGTCTTTCAAGCAAAGAGTGCATCTGAACAAATAGCTTTATACTGACTCACATCTAATCCAAGTATCTATATGGACTCCCACTGTGGTCCCAGAACTCTACTACAGAGCCTCCAGGCTAAGAAAAGTGTAAAAGTGTATACCAATAACAGACAAATGATAATTAGTTTTTGATGTTAGATAGACCAATTAGAACATTAATCTGGGACAAGATTGGATTGACAGTATCTTGGGTTATTACAAAACCATATACAACTTTAACAAATTTTCTAGTTACATGTAGGTAAATCCAGTGTCATCTAGATGAAAATAGACAAGTCCTTTGTATAAACATTATCGAAAACCATCTGATTCTAAAGAAATAAACAGAAGTATCTTTATAAGTTGTGAATTGCCAAGGCACAGCATGATTTTATGGCACATAAATCACATTTCATTTTGAGAGACATGAGATTTTTTAATAAAGTTTCAAGATCCTTTTTCAACACATGAAAAAACTAGGTCTTTGCATACGGTACTGCTGTGTTTGTGTCCAAAAGGTGCCTACAGATGTTATTTTAAGATCCTGCCTGCAAATCAATGCATGAGATCCTCTTTGCCAGCCCACCCTTGCCTAGTTAACCGCTAGCTATACTTAGGTCTAATCCAGGGGATCCCAGTGTGTGTGTGTGTGTGTGTGTGTGTGTGTGTGTCTCCCTCCCTCTCTCTCTCTCTCTCTCGCGCTTCCTGGTTATGTAGCAAGAGGTTTTCTTGCGTCATGGACACCCACCATGATGTGCTACCTCGCCACAGGCCCAATAACAACAGGGCCAATCAGTCATGGACAGGAACCTCCACAACTGTGAGCTAAAAGAACCCTTCTCTCTGTATAAATGATCATCTCAGATATTTTGTTATAGTAACAAAAAGCTAACTAATATGCCCCAGTCCTCTCCTTCCCTTTTACATCTATCAAAATGTCACTTAAATATTAATCTGTGCAATCATTTGTTTAATCTCTGAATCTCTTCAAAACCCTTAAGTGTTCAAGAAGAGACCTTGACTCCTGGGGAACGACTCCATATCCAGTTCCTAATATGGAACAGGGACAGAGGAGTCCCTAAGGTAGTTATGCGGGGAAGGACAGGAGGAGTGAACAGATGACAGCAAGCTTCAAGGGAAGGGGACCCGATGAGAGTCCCACGTACTGAAGTCCATTGCACGTCGACAGAGCCGCCTTGGAATCTCTGACACCCCTGATGCTTCCATGATAGTAACAGTGCTCTCCACCCTGCAAAGCAGAAAGTTTGACTATTTATATTTTATGCATTGTGAGTTTATATATAGTTCTATAGAGCAAAAAAGTGCACTATGTATTAATAATCCTAGAAACTCCTATTTGAAATCATGATTAGGACCACGTAATTTTTAAACATTTCCATAACAACCATATATATATATTAAATTTAATGAAGAAGTGACTTTAAAGGGAATGATGCCAATGTAAGTAATACAATTTATATACATTTCTTAAGCATGGATTATACAAGTAGATACTGGTACTGTTACACAACAGTTTTCTTCCTCCCTCCCTCCCCATCACCAAAACAATCACTTTTAACTTTCCACACTGTTTCTTTTGGTGTTCACCTATGTATTTTGAATAGAATGTTTATACTGCTACATCCTAGTTTATTGGGTTTCAGAAATCATCTTCCTGGTACAGGGTCATGAAAATCCTCTTGTCCCCAGTACATTCCAATACACATCACTGGTCTTGGGTTACACTGCTACTTTTTATTCATATTATGACTCTGCAAATATTTTTCACAACTGTGCTACTATAATCACATTTACTTTTTTGCTCCATTTTTAATTTTTAAGAAGTTTTGCTTGATTTTCTTGATTATTTTTCCATGTAGTTAGCACTTATACATCCCCATTATCTGAGAGTACTCTAAACTCTTCAATAAAATCAAACATCAGGTAATATCTCATGCCTGTTTTGTTCCTGGACACATTCCTCTTGATTCTTTTCACCCTCAGACTTTGGTCTGTCTATTCCTTCAATTCCTTTCATCCTCAGGCTTCAATCTATCTGTTGCTTTCATAGCTCTATGCATAGCCTCCCTCATGACTTCTCAGGAGCATCACTCTGGGAACCCCCTTTACCTGCCTTCTGTATTGGATCCCATGGACCTATATCTTCCCCATCATGACCCTCAACCTTCCTTTTCTCAGAGGCACAAACCCTCTGGTATTTTCATGCAAAAACATTTGTGTAAGATAAATTTGATGAGAACCTGCCTAGAAGGAACATTTCCTTTTCAACCCTCATAGTGGATCCATTAATTTGGGTGGGTAGAAAATACCAGATTGAATATTATTTTCTCGCGTCATTTCAAAGGCCTTATGTACACTCTTCTGGTTTCTAATGTTGCTATTGAAAATTGGAAATTATTCTACTATTAGATATTTTCCATAAACCTTACTGCTTCTCTTTAAGAAGACTTTGGGAGATCTTACTCAATCATTTTCATGAAATCTCATGATGCTCCTTTGTTTAGGTCTTTGCTTCCTCACTGTATTGAGCACTCTGTGACACCTTCAGTCATCATGCAATTCAGTTCTGAGAAGTCACCTGCATTATTTCTCTGATAATTCCCTCTTCTCCACAAACTGAACTCCTCCTCCAGACTACTAGGGAAGGAATAACCATCTGCCTAATGGGGTTGGAAGTAGATCAGGGGTTTGGTTACTTCCGAGGAAGATATATAGATATCTATATATAGATATATATATATAGTTATAGTTACAGTTATAGTTATGGTTTGTGTCTAGATGTCTCCCCCAAAGCCTCATGTGGTCATAGGCTATTTTGGAGGTGGC